CTCATCCGTACCTTTCTATTGATATCTAACTTAAACGCAGATTCAAAGACCATCTGTGCTTACATGTGACGTATGTCTGGGATATTCCAGTTATTGCCCTCAGTTTACCAGAGATACGGATTACTAAGAACGAGGCGGAAAGTCCTGTATTTATAATATGAAAATAGTGTCTTTTATATATTGTATGCGAATTATATGTAAACCTTTATGAAATAATTGCCTTCAGATTACGCAACATCTGCTGTAAGAATATTTAACAATATAAAGTTATATATAGTTAAATACTACTGAATATAACAAGGATATAAACACAATTATAGCTCAAAGTATACTGTATAATTAAATAGGGTACTACAGTACATACATTCGAAGTGCAATTTGTGTTGGTCTGTACGGAAGGAATTCTCGAAACATAGGATTACTCTAAAATTAAAAAGGTATTTGAAAATTAGGAAATTTGCAACTCTATTCTACACCATATTAAACATTGATTCAGTCAAAGCACATTTACACTACAGTCGACTCTCGTTTTGTCTGTATTGTACAATCAATTTGGATAGTCCCTAAACAAGCATGATGCTTTTTTATTAAATATCTTTGGTTTTAACATTTTAGAAAATATCCAGAAAATGAGTCCAAAACGAAGACATTGGAGGTATAATATAGAATGCAATTAACAAGTTTTTAGTCATAGTTTTTTGACATGATTGGAATTCTTAATGACTTAACTTAAGTGATGAACATATTATTACTTTGTTGTATATGTGAATCAATTTTAATTAATCTGTAAATCATCACAGCATTAACTAGTGTTATAGACATAAAAACGCGCTAGAGCCACTGTAGAGCCACTCTATTGTAACGACTTAATGTAATGTCTATGGGTGCATGTAGGCAAAGCCTACTTTTGAGACATCTTGGTTATAGATTTTCTAATGGATTTTCCCCTATATATACTTTGCTTAGTTTTATATAATGTACAAAACAGTGTATTATAATACGGTAGTTATAATAAGTGGTATATACAGGACAGTAAAGTATTAAATTAATGGTCTATATGTTATATTATATAACTTCTATACATTATGTATTACAGTAATGGAAAGGTATTGATGAGAGGAAGCGATATCTAAGGGTTATTGTAAGGGTTATTGTAGGGGTATTTTTAACCACAATTGAGCTATGAATCATGTGGTTTATAGGACCGTTTTGCCCCCGATACATTTTATCAAACAATTTCACAAATCCAACAAAGTTTTGTCAAAATTATGTTAATATTTTGCGACTATGTTTATGAAAAATGAAATAGGTGGATAAACTAAATGTTAACCATAATAAAAAATAGTCCGAAAAACTATTAGTTGACTATATGTTGTTTAACGTTTACTATTGTATTATTATAAGTTAAGTAGCAAATTGTGTTTGGTTTTAGATAAAATTACAATAATTAATGAATCGCACAAAATATTAACAATTTAAAATTTATTAAAAACGTATGTTTGATATGAAAACAAACATTAATAGAATAATGATTAGATGCGGGTTACATGATGTAGCTATTAGTGGCTGTTTTATTTTCACATATCTCAAATATTCGAAGTGCGGGTAATGCACAAGATTTGACGGTAATTATGTATTGATTACACATCATGGCTCACAAAAGACATTTTATTTGAATTAATTTTGAAAATAATTGATAAATCAAATGTTATGGTAAACAATTGAAAGGTGTATATGGTATGAAACAGTAATGAATGGAAATGATGGCTAAAAATAACTGTAAAATAATAATTATTAGATTTATGCCTCGATTTCACCCAAATATAAATTCTTATCACTCGATCCCGAAAGCACTGAAATGAAAGGAATAATAATTAAAAAATGAATCATTGAATGCAAAGCAATATAACTACCAATTGGTTCTGTCGGATGGAAAACAACTTCATTAACAGAGCCTAAATGTCCGGGAAGTTTGTAAAGAACTCTCTTATAGGTTGCGTCCCATATGTAGACAAAGCGATCGGCGGAACCGGCGGTCACTTTAGTGCCGTCCGGACTCCACGCACACCGAAGCAGATTCTTCTCGAAATTATGCTGATGTCCGCTAAGCGTTTTGATGCAGCGGTCTTGAGGTGCAAACGGACGGATATCCCAAATACATACTGAATCACAATAACAATCATTAACAACAATCATCAATACATTTCTAAGTATGGTAAGTATTTATTCCCATTAAGTAATGTGTGTTTTATAATTGAATAAACACTACATTTCTTAATTTAAAGATATGTATAAGATATAATATGATTGACTAAATAAATGCAAAACTTACGAGAATTATCCATAGAATTAGATAAGACATAATTGCCGTCAGGACTCAGTGACAGACCGGTAACGGTATCGAAATGTCCGGCCATTGTATACAAGACATCATTTTTGCGCAAATCAAACACTTTGAGCACATTTTCAATACCAGAGAAAATGATTTGATCGGAAGAATCATTGAAAGTAATGGCAGTTATTTGATAGTTATCTTTGAAATAAGAGACGAGTCCTCTCTTCCTGACATCCCATAGTCTGACAGTGCAGTCATCGCCACCACTGCATAATAGCTGTGATCTTCGCGAGGGATGACAACAATTGACGATTGATTGATGAGCTGTTAATTTCTTAATGCGAGCGCCGGTACGCGAGTCCCAAATCATGATTGATTTGTCAGTACTCGAGCTCATTATGTAGTCGCCATCAGTGGAGAAGTGCAGATCAAGAACTGCTCCCTTATGTCCGCTAAGAACTCCATAATTATCGCACTCTCCGTATGTATTCCACACAACTATGCATTCAAACAATACAACAGTACAACAGTTACAACTCATTCATCAATTCAATTACTGTATTACTATTTGGCACTCATTTCACTCTTTTAGAGCTTAAGAGATCTCTTTTGTCTCAATTAAATCATTTCAAACCCTTTCTTGTCATACATTTGTTAGCAAAATGTCTTAATTACGGTACAGTATATGTCATTTGCAATTAGCAATAAATTGTGCCAGTTAGCAGTTAATTAAATTATAATAAGAGTAATAATAATAGTAATAGTTATAATAAAGTTAACCATTGCTTACAGATATCTCTATCAAAACCACTTGATATCAATGTATTTCCGTTTGGATGAAATTTAACACAATTTACTTCAGACTTGTGTCCACTCAATAGCATTATGGGTGACATTAAACTTGATGTCCGGTTCACAGCCTGTCGTCAAAGACATGAATATAATGTCAACATTGGATTCAAATGAAGACAATTCAAAGACATACCGATTGTAAGGATGAGTCGGTGTCTCCGATGGCCGACAACTCATTGTTTCGGCTCTTTTTGGCCACAAATGGCACCAAAGAGTCATTTGATTGGCGTTTGTTTGCTGTTGTGATCGGCATTGCATAACACGTGACACCAATTCAATCGATTCAATCAATTCACACAACAATTGGATTCAAATTATAAACTCAAAACAAATCACTCTTTGATTCAATGTTTGCCACAAATGTGTTGATTGTGTGAACCCATAGACGGCACCACTTCTCCCAACACTTACTATTCGTACAGAATATTCTGTTATATCAACGCATAAACTGTTAATATAGAGCTGATTGCATGCAATGCCCTGCAACATGCTTATGTTTGTCCTTGGTCATTTCAACATTTATACAACCTAATTGTTTTATCATTTCATCACAAACTTTTATTAAACAAATGTAAAACAATTAAAGCGGTATTTAAATTATAATTAATCCAAACCATAAAAGAGAATGTACAATGGTGATTTGGAGAAGTATTAGCCTTCCGCACCTGCCACCATTTTCTCGGTCACAATCAATAATTTGTGACATAATTAACAATCGATGTTAATATAAACTGGTCGTAGTGTATATCACCCCTAAAACTGATCCCAAAGACACCAATTTCTTCGTAGATAAAGCTTTAGACAATTGTGTGAATAAAAACTATAAAGTTTTGACAAATGATTGTGATTTACATTATGACTTTGAATCGCCCCAACCCCACCCCAACCCCACCCCCACCCCCGGGAGGGCTAATACAAAGTTTGCTTAAAGGGTATTACAGAAAGAGTGGACATCACTGAGGATAAATTTTTTTTTGTAAAACACAAATTAATGCAAATTGTGTTTAACTAAAATAAGACTCTTCACAACTGTTACAATAACTAATGTTAGTTATAAATTGCAATTGAGATCAATAGTAAGGATATTAATGTTTTGTTATCAATAAATTGAAATAGATCATTTAATAATAGATTAATTTGAATTATACAGCAATTGTAAAATGACATGAATTGATAGAATGTGTTTTCAGTCCATTTGGTTTTGTGAATAGCTTTGAATAATATCTGAAACACTAAAATAAGTTCCGGTCACAAATCCAAGCATTCCAAACAATACAATCACACCATTTCTTAAACACAACCAAATTTTAGGAAATGTTTCTGTAATTTAATAATAAAATTTTTAAAATGCAAAATATTAACAAAAGTGTTTTACCTGTAGTTAATTCATAGAATGTGATTGTATGCAAAATTGGAGGTATCATAATAGCAACGGTACTATAATTTAATTTCAAAATTAATGTACTGTATTAATAGTCAAAATAATGAATCAATTAATTATGGCAAAAACAATACCTGCACGAAACGGCACCGATTAGTGCTAGGATTAGCTCCAATTTAGGGATTAAAGCAGCCAAAGCATCTATTAATCAATATAATAAATCATTATATAATACATTTATAATACTTATGTGAAACAAATGATAAATTAATAAATACTGTATATTGACTGACAAGTAATTATTACGAGAAGAGCTCGAAATATATAATTAAGGAAATGAATAGTCAAGTGATTGAGTTTGTATTTCTGTAATTTGTCGTCAATTATGGGCCAAATTAGATGAATGGCGACATATAGTTGTACGGGATATGAGATTGTGATGGCTATTGAGTACATTAATTGTACGCTCATATAAATGGCTTCTTTGGGCAGTGATAATGTAATACTGGCCTCCACTTCATTGCCATATTTTAAATAACCCAAAAGTCCAACAATTGTATACATTGTCATCACTATAACGATTGCAGTATTTATAACACCACAGGGTTTAGCAAAATTGTTACGATTTTTCATTGACTGGTATAAACCCATTGTCTTAATTAAAAGTTTTAATTATTAATTTAGTGTAATTTGAAAATGTAATTATTTGTTAGGTTAATGCTTACAACAGTTATTCCTTCGTATGTAAACATAGTTGTACTAAAAAATTGTGACACTTTATTGCCTAAAAGAGTTGTATGTTTTTTACCAGTATTTGTAACTAAATTGTAGATAATTATACCAAATGACACCACTTGTAAAATATTGCCAAATATTGATGCAATTGATAAATGTTTAATATTTTTTATAAAACTTATTAATATAAGGATCGGTAGGATTACAAGTAAATAATATTGAATGGACTCATCGTTTCCCCAATTGGGCTCCAAATCCAGGTTTATTAAAAACTAAAAATGATTTTATATAATTAAGCAAAAGTATAAGGATGTGCACTTATATATTTAATGGGTTAAATAATTGATTATTTCTAATTTAATAAAGTATTGGTAGATTTGCAATCACCGGCTTACAATATTTGCCGTGTAGGTAAAATTATGAAATTTTATAATTTTGAATTATTAATTTAAGTTTGCTTTCTTGCATGGTAACTTAAATTATAAAATTAATTTTGCAATTCTAGTCACACGGTAAATACCAAAAGACGGGAGATTATCAAGTATACTAATATTAAAATTGATCTCTTATGAAATACTAATAAACATGATAATTATAAATATATTTTAATTTTAAAGATTGTATGACAAATACTTGTTTTATATTTTTTGCAATAAACACATAATAAGTGCAACAAAATCCCATTTGAGCGGTGAAGAGGAACACAATGGTTAGAAGACGTGAGAAATTTGAATATTTCCTTAAACACTTTGGTCCTTCACTCATTGCTTTTTCGGCCAACTATTCATAAGTTATAATATTTAAAATTAATTATAATTGATGTTATAAAGCATACATTAACATTAACATTAGTTACATACTTCTTCAAAATTCATTGGATTAATTGACAATTTGTGACATAAATGATCATTAATTTGAAGCATCATATGAATACAGGAATGACACAATAGACCAATAATTGGAGTACCAAAACACCCAATAATAATCCCCGAATAACTTTTTAATTAAATATAATTTTATTCAGTAATTAATTACTTAAGTTATAAAGGTAAATTTATTAATATTAATATACAAAATATTTAAACCTAAAAGCTTTAGGCATCGCTAATATTCCGGATCCGATATATGATTTTAAAAGATGCATTAGTGCTTGTATTGCACTCGTTTGTCCCGACATGATTACAATGGCCTAATGGCAGTACAATATTATCAACTTCTCAATTCTTAACAAATAAACAACATTTTAAATAAATAAACTTATAACGAGTTTAGTAATAGTTTTATAACTAATGTTCACTAAGACGTGCTAGAGCCACTGTAGAGCCACTTTTGTATAGTGAGGTTATACTTTAGTTATAGCATGACTAATGCTATTAAATATGAATTTGTCTATAAATCGCTATATTTATAAGTTATAACTCATACAGTGCTGACTATTTACTATTACATTTCAGCATGAGAATCGCTGCTAATGTTTAATATTAATGTTATCTCTAAATCATTCATTGGTATTATATATTCATAGAAAATTTAATGATAACAAACATTTTCTATTAAGCAATAGTATATTAAATAATAGTGATTGTGGTTTTTAATTGGCATGTTCCCCACCTCTACTTCTCTTCATAAAAGGCATCATTTAAATTAAGTTGATGTAAATAAAGACTAACACTATTTAAGGTACTACAGAGTACTACAACTACAGTACAGTGTATTTCAATAGGGGCTAATGAATTAGAATTTCATTCACGTTATTAACCATACCATCCACACTAAACTTATGCCAATTTTTGGACATATTTCAAATTGTCTCACAATTGTCAGCTGAATTATGATTAAATTAAAAAATTTGCTTTTACAATTGTAGCATTGTATACAATGTTGAATAATTATATTGTTTTATGAATTAACTAACAATTATTGTTATAAATGTTTTAAAATAGTATTAATATTAAATGTACAATAATACATACTACAACCGACGGTAAAGTATAAACTTTATAAAGTACAAAGTATAATAGACTATTATTAATACAGTAATGTAGTATTAATGTAGTAATGTATACTGTACAGTTTTACTTATGTACGTTTTTTATATTTATTCTACAATTGTTATATATTTTTAAAATAAGATTTGTTATTTGTTACCAATATACTTTTAAAGTAATTTAAACAATTATTATTACCTGGTAAGTTGTCAACAAATTGTAAAATCCTCTATGCAACTAATATTAAAACCCTTTATAATAATTGCATGACACTATTTTAAAACTTTATTTGTAGGTATATACACTTATGTAGTACAGTGAAATTAATAGAATTTTGTAAAAATTATAAACTTAATAATGTTTAAGACATTTAAACATTTTATTTTATAGATATACTTACAGTTAGTACTTACAGTCATTACAAAAGTTGTAATTTAATACATGTTTTATTAAATAACTATAAATTATTATCTTTATTTTTATTACATCTTAATAAATATTTATCAACTTAATTTTGAAATATATTTTTATTAATTAAGTAAATTGTTTTAAAACTTATAATAATAAAACATGATCATAAACAACTACTACAATAAGATGATACATACATGAGATGATGATACTGTATTTCCACGGAGTTTATCAATAATTGAATGGTTTTATTTTACAAAAAGGTGTCATGTTTTTAATCAATGAATCAAAATATTCAATTATAATTATTATTAATTTATTGTCCTTTAAAACCTTTCCTCCAATAATCTTTGAATACTTTGATTCATTGATTAAAAAAGTTATCTTTTTGTCCGATAAAACGATTTGAGTTAATAAATGTCACAATTTTTAAAGAAAAGGTTATTTTGAATAAATAAGTGCTTTTTTATCTGAATTTTGAAGTACAGAATTGAAAACAGAGACAATTCTAATTTGTGGCAGTTATAATATGCCTGCTTGGTTTTAATAATTAGTAGTTATTAATTATTAAACCAATTTTATTATTCAAAAATAGATATTAAAAATAAGTTCCGGTAAGAAACCACAGTTGGGGTACCGGTCACTGTTGATCACTGTTGGCCGCTTTCATTATTCATTCAAGTTGTTTTTTTTCAATGATTTGAAAAATTTAATTAAATTTTATTTAAAACTAAATAACTATTGAATCGAATTTTATTAAACTTGGTTTCTGGTGCCTAAGAATGTTAAGATAAATAATGAAACCATTTTAGTAATTCTAGCATCAGATGAAACTTAAACTACTTATTTTTTATATGAACCAATATAGAACTAAAAAGTTGCAAAACTGAAATTCAGTTAGAGAAGAAAAATGTGCATTAAATGAAAACTATTGTTACGCTTATAAAACATTAGCAAAAATCTCTTTTATATTTCTGTGTGCAATGGCCTGTACTGTATGTCCAGTGACTTCGGGGTATAGTTCATGTCCACCAGATGTCCAGAGGTTGAGCATGGTTACTTTATTGTTAGTACTGTAATTCTTTTATATAATTTACGAGATTTTTATGTATACTGTTATAATTTTTTTTATTAATATTGTACTGTATTAAGAAAGCGACAATAATAATCAAATCAAACTTTATTTGAATCGCTTTCAATAAAAGCTGTTTTACATAGAAATCAATATAAAAAATATAATTTTAAATTAAATCTAAAAATGTTTTCAAATAAGTTGTAATAAGTTTATCGTCAGATCATTCGCTGTGTCTTTAAATTCTTAATCGTATTCTCGGATCTGATTTCTAATGGAAAAGAGTTCCAGAGTTTTACTCTTTTGCAAAAATTGTGTTAAACAAGAAGTTCTCCGAAGTGTTCGTTCGTGACATTCAGTCAAATGTAATCAAAATTCTTGTATTGCATATAGTCTTCGGTTAATTCATGATTTTTCAATATTATTACAGATTCTTAAACAGAGCACAAATAACTTAAGAGATATTTCAGGATTTTACACAAAAATAAGTTTGAATTTAACATTATGTCTATGGAAAAAGGATAAAATTTTGATTGATTTGAGGTTATTCTTAAAATACAAGGTCAAGCATATTGACCATATCATAACGAAAACTCCCGCAGTTGACCAGTATTTTGATATATAATTTGAATTTTTAGACAGAATACTTTTCGAGATATTTTACTTTGTAATGTTATAGTCGATTAATCTCCACCATGTAAAAATATGTACTAAAATATCATAAATATGTATTGTTTTAGGTTTATTTAATTATTATATTTTTAGCAGATTTAGATATCTTTCGGTTTTCAATATTTGCGTGTATCTAAAATTATGAAATTAATTTTATAATATAAGTTAGCTTTTGTCTGCACCGAAAGTGGGTTTTGTAAAAATCACTACACTTCTTATAATAAATTTTAAAAATATATAAGTTGTCACATTTGTCAAAAAATTAATGACAAAATATTTCACAAAAAGGTGGTAAAGTCTCAAAAGGTTCTAAAAGGGTGAAATAAAAATCTCTCAAAATACTCATGCTAAATTCTAATCTTACTCAACCTAACTAATTGTACATTATATTTTTAACCAAATATTATAATACAGTATAATATAAATTTGAATATATAGCAAAAATAATGTGCCATGATAAAAATGGATAATTATGCAAATTATTAATATTGCAAATTGCAAGATGCAAATTATTAATCTTCAATTTTTAATATTGGACAATTTCATAATTTTATTCAAAATAACAAAATTTATGTAAATACTGACCTAATATAGCATTAATACTAATATAATTTTTTATTTGTTTATGATGTTTATTACTTTTAGTCTATACTGTATAATATTTTTATAATAAATTTAATTATAATTTAAAATGTTTATTTTAAAAAGTTGAATGATTAAATAATATGAAATTATATATAAAAGAGTAAAATATTGCAGCAATAAAGAGATTGATGGTTGAGAATAGGATGGAGTGATGAATACAATCGCATGGTTTGCCGTAAATCACTGTATTATTCATAGGAATATAAGCATCAAAGTAATGCATTGCTTAGTTTTAATGTGGTTTTTTGAGCCCTAATGTGTCTGTCTGTCCAGTAGTGTACGCCTGCCTATAGTGTAGTAACCGTTTCCTCACTGCAAATATTGTACATAAAAAGAGTGAGTCATAGGCTCTGAGGCTAAATAATGGCTCAGAAACCCCTTCAATACAAGTGTGGAGTGGAGTGAGCAGAGAGTGGACCAGCATTTCTACCAATAGATATTCACTCGTTATTTACCATTTCTTTTGATCTTCACTTTCGATCCAACAGTGAAAGTGACTGAAGAGAGAGAGAGAGAGAGAGAGAGAGAGAGAGAGAGAGAGAGAG